CACGCGTACGCGCACGTTAAGACGCGCAAACAAAAAAGTAAGATACCTAACATTCAACCTTGAGAAGTATAATAAGCCCATTTAATATTATTCAGAAATGACGAATGGTTAAGATGATATGACGTCATCAACGTTTTTAGAAAAGAAAGATGAGGGGGTCAGAAAAAGCATTTATTTTGACCATGATGACGTCATCAAAATGTAAAAAGAAGTCACATATATGAAAGAGAATAGTCTTAGCTATAACATACTTAAAGTTTAGAGACGATTGACCAAGCATAAGCAAGATACGCTGAAATGCACATTTTTAAAAATGACGTCTTAGGTAAAATTCAGTTTGTTGAATTCAGATGGCAATATGATGACGTCACAATGTCCGATCAGCTATTATGATATATAAAATCAAATCTACAACTGATGTGCTTTCAGAAAATGTAATAAAAATTGGGGGTCACCTTTCATCCTAAGGAGCATAACTGATTTTTTTTAAAAGACTTGATATAAAGCATATTTTAATTTTGACGCTCGCATTATTACACGCGCACAAAAATATAAGGTACATAACATTTAACCATGAACTGAAGTTTATGCCCACTAAATATGATTCAGAAATCACGACTGATTAAGGTGATTATGGGGTCATCAAAGGTTTGACGAAAGCAAGATGAGGGGGGTAAGCAAAACCCTATATTTTGACAATGATGACGTCATCAAAGTGTAAAAAAATGTCCCATATATGAAGGAGAATTGCCTCAGCTACAACATACTCAAAATCGACCAAGAATAAGTGAGATACGTTCAAATGCGCATTTCTTAAAATGACGTCATCGATAATATTCAGTTTGTTGAATTCAGATGGCAATATGAGGACGTCACGAGCTAGAAAATCATATTTACAACTCATGTGCTTTTAGAATATGTAATAAAAATTGGGGGTCACCTTTCATCCTAAAGAGCTGTAACTGTTTGAAATTAGGCCTGATTTTAGCAAAATTTCACTGTATATCGGCACAAATGCGCACAGTTCACTATGTTTGATGCGTGTGTACGGTATTTTTATTGGCCATAAGGTGATTGAAAAGATCGGAAACTTGTAAAAACAATGTCAGGAACTTAAAATGTGACAAAAAAATTATTTTCTAGCTTCCTACGTGCTGCGCACGTAAAAATGCACGCGCGTAGTGGTAAATTCCAAAAAATTTTGAAATGCTTAAAATGGCCTGAAACATGCTCTAATTTAGTCAAAAAGTGATTCCGAGCATTTTAAAATTTTGAAGCATGCGTTATCACGCGCATGCGTAAAATTAGGGTACATTACACTTAACATTGACTTGAAGTTAATGCTTACTTAATACGATTTTGAAATGGCAAATGGTTAGGCTGATATGATCAATAATGTAAAAATGCAAAATTGCGCGTAGCTGATGTCACGCATGACTGGTCACCTTGAAAACCTCGCCATGTCTATTCCAGGCGAAGCCAAATTGATCGATGAAGCGAATCTTGTGTGTAACTCCTGGAATTCTTGAGATATCATGCGAACAAAAATATGGAGAAAGAAAGAAGAATAAGAAAAAAAGATGAGAGCAGATCACCAATGAAAAATGCTGATGAATATCTAGGGGAACTTTATGGTCCGGGGCTCCTGGTTATAGCAAGTGGGGGCTCATAGCTATTATGCCACTGTGTGAGACACAAAACCAATTTCAATTCTATAATTAGCAGTGAAAATAATGGTCCTTTTTTCATCTTTGGACAGGCAACAACTCTGAATTGTTCTCACTCTTTCTGTCACACTTGCATAATGGAGTGGTTCAAGAAAAAGAAAGAATGCCCATGCTGTCGCACAAAGGTGACTACTTACACACGCTCGATTGTTCTCGACAATTACATCGACAAGATGGTGGAGTCATTGAGTGAGGAACTAAAAATAAGGAGAACTGAAATAGTCAAGGAGAGAAAAAGTAGGGTAATTTAATATTTATTTAGCATTTTTGAATTGAAACAATTGACATGTCGACAAGGACGCGAAGCCCCACCCACAAAGTCACAAAAACCTTAGACAAATGGCGGCTAGACTTACCGAGTTGGCGAAGATTTTCTTTGCTATCAACCTTCTTTAAGAAAGAGGTTTCAGGGTAGGCGGTATGCAAATGAATCATATATTCATAGTGTTAATCTATTTTATGGAACATGGCGGGGTAACTGTTGTAAAAGCCTCTGTATTTCGCTCCCAAAGGAAGAGGGAAAAAAGCCGCATTCAGTCAACCTTGTTGTCGGCAAAGGCCAAGTCACTGATGCGCACTGCTTGTGTAAATCTGGGTATCTATAACCAAGCATAGACACATAGGCCTAGGCTCGCGTATGTTTCGCGTTTAAACCAGCTGTCTAAGGAAATTAAAATGTACGAGAAAAAGTTTTTGATCATGTGACTAAATGACGCTCGCTAATTAATTAATTGTATCTCAGAGGTGTAATCTAGTGTGAGAACTGCTGGTGTAGATTTTTTGGCTCAGCTCTTGATATTAAAGTAAAAGGCGAGCCTTTTAATTCCTTGTTCTGCAAACTTTTTTTTTTATAATCGTCAGAGGAGGATAGAAAAAAATGAAAATTAAATTTAGTTTTCTATGGTTTTACCAAAAACATCCAGATGGAGGAGAAAATAAAATTGTATTGTTGAATGTAATCAGTGTATTAATGAATTGGTTAAATGCTTTAAATTAATATAATTAGGTAGAAATATACATATCTTATTTTTGTAGATTTCAAACCAGCGGCAGGCATAAAATGAAATAATGCTGATGAATATATCTTTTATTTTTTGTCTGAAATTTTCATTTTTTGGCAAAAAATAAAATTTTATTTTTATTCAAAGTCATTATTGGTGAGCGGCGGACTCGCTAAACAAGGTATAAAAAAAAGTCTCGTCGAAAGCTCTATTCAATTTTTAACACATTTTATAAGAAAATACATGCGATTTTCCTATAGGGTGTGATATGACATCATCCTGTCCATATAGGCACGTGATATGGCTTTTTCGTCCCCATATACGAGAAATTCTCATATATTTTTTCAAATCGCGTTTGTTTGTGTTCTAGAGCAAGGCATTTATATTAACAAATACATGTGATTTGCTCATATACAGTATGTGTGTAATATGACATTATCCTTCCCATATATGGAAGTGATATCACGCATACTCATCCCCATATATGAGCAATTCTGCTACATTTGTGATGCAAGGCATTTATGATAAATACATGTTATTTGCCCATGTATGATATGGTATGACATCATCTTGTCTGTGATATGACATCACCATCTCCATCACCCTCCCCATATATTATGTGCAAGGAGATACAGTACACATGATTGACATCCTTTCACAGCGCGACTTGTATATTTGTTACATGGATTTATCGGCTGCATTTGATCAGAATACTGTGCAATGATATCCACATTGGACAGGAAAAACTCAGTCTTAGGATCAATAGTGAAACACATTTACAAAGAGACACATAACACTTCTACTAGAATCGCGCTTTTTAACAGACTCATGAGATGTAAACTTGCGTATGGATGCCATTCATGGTGACCTACATCCTTAGAGGTGTCAAAACTCAACAGTACTTGCACCGGGTTTGAGCATAAGGATCAGCAGTCAGATGTACATAGAAAGATCATCACCATCTCAAAACAACAGTACAGAGGATACTGATACCACTACAATCGAAGACAATATTACCAGTATTGACTGGGGTATGTAATACCAAATGCCTGACTACGAAAATTACCAATACACAACCAATCACCGACATCCACAAGGAGCAACAATTTAAATGGCTATATTCCACGTTATTAGAGATGAAAACAGCAGTGCATATGATGAAGGACACCAGAACAGGTCAATTCGATCTTAGAGCGAGCAATAGAATACGTTAATGTCCCAACGAGTCAATTTTTTAGGGAATTATTCAGGCAATAAACAAGCTCATCTATTGTAGTATGTCACATCACATTTTTTGTTTCCACTACAGGGTAGGCTAGACTAGATGCCAACATCACTAGAGCGCTTGTGAGTACTGTGCCTGCGAAGCACCGCTTGCTGGTGGTTTTAAACTGCAGGAGAACAGCGCAGTGATGTTGGTTCCTCTGCTTCTAATCTGTGTCTGGGCTTCTTTTTTTTTGGTTAGCGACAGGATAGACTCGTAAAAAACACACACAAAAAAAAAACGGTGTAGTGCGTTGATGTACAAGAGCTTATTTGCTGTCAATGTATTGAATATCCTAATAAGTCGAAGATTGCCAAATATTGTCTGTAAAGGAGAATTGTTAGATTTAATATTAATAATGGCCAGAGCCACAATTTTGTCTTCTTCGGTCTGAGTACATTTATAAAATTATAGTGATTTGATTTTTAATTTTATATACATAACATATGCTGTATTTTATAAATTGCAAAAGTTTGACAAAGTAGTGTAACATCCTTTTAAAGCAGTTATTGTATTGTATTATTTATGAAACAAGAGCTTTTTTTTTCTTGAAAAGTAGAAGGAAATAGATTTAAATTTATTCATAAGTTTAGTAACAAATCCGGTAGTTCTGGGTATTGTATTATTGAATTCAACTATGTAAATTCATTATTTTCTTTGCAATAATTAATTCATAGTTTTAAGTATGTGTTGAGAAGAATTTATCATTTCTATTGATGTATTATTTTTCTACAATAAGTAATTTAAGCATGTTGTTTATGATTATGGTAACTTTGTAAAACATTGACATACACACTGCATGATTGGAATTACGGATTAATCCAATCATGATTATTACAGTATTCAATTCAATAATTATCATTAAAAGTAATGAATTATTTTCAGAACTTCAATTGTCATTTTGTGTCTTGCAACAATGAAGAATTTAAACATGAAGAAATCCTTAAAAAATCTATGTTCACTACTAAACAACTTCTGTTCGTTCCCTGCTATTGAATTCTGTGTTATCACACCCTCTGTTATTAAATCCTCCCAGACAGACCAGACTCTTCAGCTGCCAGTGGTACATTCCAAGAGTCGATTGTAATAAGTGAGGATTCTGAGGAGGAGGAGGAGGAGGAGGAATCTTCAGAAGTTGATTCTGAGGCAGAGAGGCATATGGATGAGTGGAGGCGGGCATATAGTAACGACAGAAGGTTCAATGGTGATGATGATTTTTCAACTGACACCGATTTGAGAGATTGGCCAATTGTTGCAGATGTTAATGGCAATTTCTTCCCTGAACAGACTTGCTCAAGATGCGGTAAGCTGGTTTCCACAGAGTCCTTATCAGTTGTCTTTAATGGGGTTTCCAGAATTAAAGTGTCTATCGAAAAATATTGCTGAGATTTTCATAATTTCTTCGATTTCCATAGTGAAGAATGAGAATTTCAAAGCTGTCCTATCATTAGAATTACTCTGTGTTACATGAAGGGAAAATAAATTAACTCTTGACACCCCCCCCCCCCCCCCCCCCAGCCCAATCGAAAGGAGGTAAAAATCAGTAGCTATAGCATTATAGGATAGTCTCTGGGCTACACAACATAATATATACATGTGAGGTGTTGTTACAAAATGAGTCATGTTTCATTTTCTAAGCCAGGTCAATTTTCAAGTTTAATTTATATTTTTTGATTTGATACTACATTTTAATGTATTATCAACTTAAAGCGTGTTTTTTTTTATTTTTAGGCATGTTTTTTTTTTTTTTTTTAGTGTCTATCAAAAGTGTTATGATAGACAGTTTAAAGAAAATTGTCATTTATTTATCTTTAGAGGCAATTTTCTCCAGAGTATGTTTACAATCTTGGTTCTACCAAAAGACTCATATTTGTGAAAATACCTGACATAATATTAGTAGAGTACAGTATGTTTAATTTTAATGCATTTTTATTTTTTTATAATCACTGCTATATTTTCAATTTTTTCAAGCTAGAGTATATTAGCTGATTGAACATTACATTACAGAGTATTAATAGTGTAATGATTTTACATCCCCAGATGAAAGTGGTCACTCTGTAAACGGTTGTCCAAGGACATTTAGAATGGCACCTTATCACTCTTGACCTTTCCTTGATGAACACCTCAGAAGACGTCAACAGCTACCAGAATTGACCTCTCCTTGAAGAACACCTCGAAAGAAGACGTCAACACCTATCAGAATTAATAACTTAATTTTTTATAAATAAATACATACATGTATTTGGATTTAGAAGGCATCTCAAAACATTTTTATTCATAAAAGCTTTTTAATTTGAATTATTTTTCACTCTGTGCATTGATAATGTTTTTCATTAGTGCAGTATGAAGTCTGTCTCTTATACACATCTAGATGTGTATAAGAGACAGATTACGGATTTAAAATATCATAGTATTAGTAACATCAGGGGATTGATTGCTTTACCCCTAGGGGTGGAATCTCATGCATGCAAGTTTGTCTAACTTGGAATCTGTTATGATTATTATTATAAATAGTATACTAAATAATTAATTAATAAGACAAGTTTTTAATGATTTGATTATGATAAATAATAAAGATTTCACTGACAGAGACAGTGATAATTATCTATGATTTATAAAAAATATGGATGGCTGAAAATTTCAGATAAAGTTTCACATTAGCCTTCCCATTACCTTGCGTTTGTAATATTTCATACAGTACGGATTATTAAAATAATAAACTACTGAGGTTGAAAAATTGTTTTGTCTCCTTGTCTTTGTCTTTTATCACTCACATGAACGTGTGAGACTAATCTGTAACATCCTGATCATTCCGTTTCGTAATTGCCTGTAATGTAGCTGATGATCTGCAGTACGTATACAGTAATACACATACACATGTATCATCAGAATAATATAATAAAACTGTAGTGAATTTTAAACCTGGGAAAACATTTTTCAAACCACAAATCATGTTTGCGTCCTTCTCCCAG